CTAGCCGGACGCCCAAACTCTGAAGTCTCGTGCGGCGAGTCTCTCCCACGCCCCGATTCCGGAGCCTTCCTGACCGTTCTACGGCACGAGCATGCTGGACAAGGCTTACACGTGCATGAGTGGGCATGGCATCTGTTGACAACAATTTTTGAGGTCAACAAAATTTAAGATGCATCTATCGAATTGCATTGCACTTGTTGTGAAGGAAGGAAATTGTTTTGGTTACAAACAGAATATAAACAAGATTCTAGTTTGTTTTATTTCCTGTCATCCCTATCAAACGAGCCAATAAGAATGGACTGCACGTACAAACAGAATCTGGCAACAGGATTGATAAAGTTTTTAGAGTTGCTATTTTAAGATTACAAATATCTGATAAACATCAAACATCATTAAACAAGAACGATGATCTTCTAAAAAGGGAACTTCCCTCACTTGCCACGATTCTCATCAACAAACCCAGTTACAGCTTTCTGCAATATAAATTTAATTTACACAAATAAACCTCCCAATTCTCATAGCAAAGTTATTCATTAAGACAATATTCTGTAAATATTACCTGAATGCAAGACAATGTGTACTGCACATCGCTTTCCGAGATCTGGTGGTGAACGACAAGTCTAAGTCTGCCATGTAAAGGTTTTAGCATCAATTTCTTTACAAATGCACATATGGTTCAAAACATTCTATTATGCCCAAAATTATCGAGCAAATCAATGACATGATATAAGGTCACATCCATCAGAAATGGAGGTGAGTCAATCCGCGAGTGCTAAGTACCCTTGGGGTAGTATACGGCACTTCAAGAGGTGATAATATAATACTTAGCCTTCGACATCACACACACACACACACACATATATATATGATCTACAGGAAAACCTATAGAAGTAGGGAGAACTGAATCCAGGGCATGCATAATTGAAAAATATTCATAGAATCAGACGCACTTGAATGGCCCTTCTGGCAATGTTAGTACACCATGTGCTTCTAGAACCTTGCATAAGTGAGTTTCAGTGATATTTGAGCCCTCAAGAATGTCAAAATACACCTGATATCATAAAAGAAAAGGTGAATATGCCTTCTTCCTTTCTAGGCATCATCAATGGTAGTTTTCAGTCAAAGTAAGGTTAGAAAATCAATAAAAGACGTACATCATGGTCATACAAGTTTCATCTATGCACAATCAAAATTGCAAAGTTGTTGAACTTAAACAAAATCTTGATGGAAGCAATAAGTCTCTGCAAGGGAGTAACTGGATAGGTTCTTATACCAAGTTTCGAAAAATCAAAGTGAAGCTTTGTGTCAAGTATGAGCAATGAAATCTGAATACCATAATTTCTGTGGCAGAGGATCCGCCATCAGGGTTCGCTATAAGAAGAATCAAGACAAAACTTTCCTTATGCAAGGATGTATTTCCATTTTAATTCTTTAAAGGGTTTGCCTGTAAGGAAGTATATTCTATACAAGTCTCATTGCTAAAACATGGACTGCAAACGTTAATACCAAGAAATTTCAAGAAAGAACTTCCTCTGATCTTTAATTTTTGTGATCTATTTCCACTTAAAATATTAATTAAAAAAATACTACATTATATCAGATGAACCGGTTTGATTCTAAGATATTTAGAGAGAGAACTTCATGTCAGACTCAAATTTGTCACTATGCTGGGATTGATTATCATAAATTAGCTCAAAGCCTTTAAATCCAGAATCATGAAAAAAAAAAAAATCAGCAAATATTCCCACAAAGAGACAATATGGTGGAAAAGAAGCTGACTTATCTACGACTTCAACAATAATGCAACTTACAATGTTGGTCTCCACGGAAGCCATATCAACTTTAAGTCCTTTGATTTCGTTCAGTCCCTCTGAAAAAAAAAGCACAAATACGTAATATGGAAATATGGCTATGTAATCACAGTTTGGAAAGGAAATTAGTTTTAATGTGAAACACCTAGGAGGAAAAAGTTACCTGCCAAAATCTTAGCCTTTTTATGATCGCCTTCAAGTTTACTAACATTTTCTTCCAATGCAACTGTAGCAGCAGCGCATAGTATGCCAACCTGTCTCATTCCACCGCCTAAAGTCTTCCTAAGAATCTTCGCCTTTTATGTAGAACCAAAGGATAAGGGAGTATTTTTCAAATTATGAAAACAGAAAATGAATTCTTTCTCAAAGCCTTGGCAAAATAGGAAAACGAAAAAAAATAAATAAATAAATAAACCCTTTACCTTGGCAATAAAGCTTCTTGAGCCTGCGATCACAGTTCCAACTGGAGCACCAAGACCTTTTGATAAACAAGCCTACATCACACACTCATTTCACGAGGGATTGAGCCGATAAGGACACATAATATACAACATAATACAATAGCGTATACCAAAGATGAGTTGATGGTATATGTGGATATATCACGTTTTGTTTGTGTTTTAGAAAAATTAGAAAATTATTCTCAAAATGAATAAAAATGTAGGCTGAAACTAGAAAGGACAAAAATATCTTCGATTTTGGCTTCCATTGACTTACCGTTACTGAATCAGCTGCCTGCACAAGCCTGTGAACAGGAACTCCAAGTGCCTGGAATACAGAAATCCAATTAAAACGGTAACCAGTAACACAACAAAAGCACATAAAATTTAAAGCCCTCCGCTTACCTCCGTAATGCTTAATGACAAGTCAACAATCTCCCAGATTTGAAAATGTGCCTAGACATAGATCAACTGACATAAACCAAGACCAACCCAGTATGGGGACATTCTAGCCTCTCAAGTGAATATGGTGTTCAAATATAGGAGAAAATCAAGACTTCATTTGTTTCCTCTCAACATTATCACTGCTATTGTGAGACCTCTAAGGAGGCTTAGGAAGGCACTTCTCATGTTCAGAAGTCAATATTGCAAATGCTCAATTCTAAATTTGAGAGTTGGTTCAAAGGTTTTTGAATAACACACGCATTAGACTCAGAACGATGCAGTTTAGCATGGAGAGGTCCTTTGTGGGTGTGTACCTTCATACTAATTTTTGCACGCCACAAACTCAGTTTATGATTAGCTTATTCATTTCAAACAGCTTTGAAATTTTGAGCTCTATATGTCTTCATGTATGAAGTTTTCATATATGGTGATTAGACGCATTGATTTGGCTCATTGAAAACTTGAATACCAGAACACTCAACACAAATAAATTCCATAATATAGGGATATACACATATATGAAGAGAATACACTAGATTGATCTACATAACATTTAAGCCCCTATATTTATTCTAGAATAGAACTTTATAGACTAGCAAGAAATATTTAAAAATAATGAAAAGGTCAGCACACTTTGTTTTCATATTAAAAACTAAGCATTTCAAATTGCATAAAGCATTTTTTTTTCTTTTGCAAAATATTTTTGAGTTCGTTTATTTTTCTATGATCATTTTTTAATATTGATTTGGCATTAGGAATAGTATGAAATTGATCAGAACATATGGATGAATTAGCAATGGATGAAAATGTTGATGCTGTATCCTTGAATGTTGGGAATGGTGAAGAGAAACAGACTTGGCCTTGAAGGACTAATGTTAGGAGAAATCAGTGGCACAATGGGCTGGCATGAAACAATGGAGGAGTGGAAGGTGGTCGATGACAAAAATCGTGCAAGATGACAGAGATTGAATCATGCTAGAAAAGAATGTTGTAGTGGGTTTAAGAGAGGTAGGTAAAGGATGAAGAAGAGAGATGTAGGGACTACTTTTGAATTGGCCTAATTTGCCCTTGTCTTCAAATTTCCAGATTTAAATTTGGGCTGTTTTAGGCAAAATAAGAAAGGGAGGAGCTGATTTCAAAATAACAGAAAATAGGGAAGAACTCTCTCCCCAAAGCAGTGGGCACCTTTTTGCCCATATATGTATATCTTTCTATACACATATACCTACAGAGAGCACAGAGAAAATTAGACTCACAACTGATGCATTAAAAATACGCGCCCCATCAATGTGAAGCTTCAAACCATGCTTCTTTGCTAGGTCTCCAACTTTGTCCGTGTACTCTACAGAAAGACATCTCCCACCGGAGCTGCAGCAATGAAAAAAATCCCCATAAGCAACCACATCATAAGAAGAATCAACAATCTGATTTTCCACAAAGGAAATGCATTTTAAATAATAAATTTTTTTTAAAAACACTGATATTTACTAGCTCTCTAACTATGTACCTATGAACTACTGAGAGACATAAACAGGGTGTCTCCAGTAAAGAAGAGAGATAACCCATAGTCTTTATTCAAACGAATAAATATGCATTTCGGTTAGTATTTAGTTTAGATCCATAGTGAGTTCTATTCAAAGAAAATTAGAATTATGTTTCTGAATAAATCATTAAACAAATACACAGATTACGCACAAAAGATAATGTCCACAACCCCACACCGTCAACTACACCCAACCTCCAAGAATCTTGTGGAAAATTCTTCAATGGAAAGACATATCCTATGAATAAAGCTTACCTCAAAGATCTCCAAAATCTTTTATAAGCATTAGGAAACAGTCAAGAATATGAGAATAAATCAACTTGTCATAAGGAGCCCCTTTCTAACGTATGATCAAAATGAATACACCAAATACCCTCTAACCACAGATATCTTCACATGAAACACCATAGAACACAGACAAACTGGACGAACGTGCTGTTATCCTCAGGCATAAAGTAGCATAACAAAAAATGTCTTTCATATACTTATGCACTAAAGGTCTACATATATACTAGTATGGCATGAAGGGAGAAAGGATGGAACTTACTATTCTCATACTTCAGTTTTTTACCCCATCCTAAAAAGGGTTTGAGAGTAAAAAGTTTGAACCAGTCATTTGTGCCTTCTCAGTTTAATCCTTCAAGTTATCCAACTTCTGAAGAATTGAATAGCAAGAGGAAAATGAGATATACTTCAACGTGTTCACATACTCTCTCCTTACTCCCTTATCTAACTAGAAATCACTATCATGCCTCTGTACATGTTCCTGGGGAAGTTCTAGTGAAAATTGTTAGGTAGTGATTAGAAAATTTCATCACGAAAATTATGCATATACAGAAGAAGAGAACTGGTAATAACAACTGTAATTACTAATTTTTTAGGCAAAGTTTTATTCTTCTAACTTTCTTGAGCTATTCTGCAAAAGATTAACAACCCCATGACTACCATATCAGCTCATACTTAGAGCCATAAACAAATTTTATTAGATCTCTGGTTTATGGGAACTTGCTACAGTAAATAAATTTCTGCTTCTTTTCTTCTGGAAAACATCATCTGCCAATGAAATCCAGAAGATCTATCCAAGTTTCCCTCACCCTCATACAGAAAAGAATACAAGCAAGTATAACATGAGCATAACAAACAGTTGGATACATCCCAACTGCATGAAACGATCACATGTTAATACTGTGTATGACCTAATAACTCACCAAGAGCTAAAACCTCAAAAAACTAGCCAGCATAATCTGTCTAAAAGGTCTTCATTCATTTTGCTTCATTGCAGGACAATTCCTTAATAGACCAAAAGTTGTCATAACTTCTTGTTAATGATGTCCTCAAGTGGTATTTCCATCTTCTTCCCCTAACCCTACCATCAACAAAAAAAAAAAATAAAAAAAATAAATATATATATGGGCCTGTGTGGGAGGGATTAAAATCAGATTAAAATTGAAAATATAGCCGTTATTGTTGACTTTTATTAGACGAGTGGGGTCCAATAACGGCCATATTTTCAATTTTAATTGGCTTTTAATCCCTCCCGAACGGGGCCTTATGGTGGATNTTTTAATCTCTACCGAACGGGGCCTATATATATATATATATACACACACTTCATAGAGGTACATCTGGTGTCACATGCTTGAACCACCTGAAGCATTTTTCTCTTTGTATACTCCTACGGGAAATAAATGGAAAGAAAAAAATTTGAATTTTCAGTTTTGACATATTTTTTTCTTATTTTTCACAATAGAGATACATTTTCTGAAGCAATCCCTTCTATAACATATTTTCCTAAATTAAAAGGGCATTTTGACCAGCAAAACATTGTCACACAACTGAGTTCTAAGCAAATCACTTTCTAATTTATTCACGTGTGGATATGTGGCATAATACACTTGATCGACAGGGAAAGGGAATATGCAAAATGGCTACAAAGAAAATGTTACAACTAACCGTACTCACAAATATAATTTATACAAATATGAAGGTGGGAACTCAAATATAATATGGTAAGTAATAAGGAGAATATTTTTTACTTTGTATATCCAAATTATATTGTTCACTTATCCATTTCAACGCTGACCCCAGGAGATGGAACTCTTTTTCATGAAAGGGGTATATTGGGCATCCATCTCTTTGAACTCGGTCACCCAAGATTCCTGGGCTATAGAGAGGAGTATGCGGGGACTGTTTTGTGTGGTGTGAGACAAACAGAGAGGCATGAGATCTCCATTTTAAACTGCATTCTCTCCTTGTCTTAGTGAAAATCATCAGCGGTGAGTGGACTTTAACTTTCATATTAGAGTGAACTATCTGTATTTCTACGTGCATTGCTGTTATTTTTCATTTATTTTTGCTTTTGGGATTAGAAATAAGGTTTAATCCACAACAATTATTCAAAAGAGTCTTGTGCTTAAAGGTTAGACTTACTGTGCATGTGAATTCTCCAAGCAGATGAGCCTAGTAGTTGGATAACAGATCTCAAATGCAGGATCTCTTATTGCAGCCTCAATTAGATCAATATCCATTGTCCCATCTTCATTATTCTTCACTGTCCTCGGATGAACGCCTCCAATTGTGGAAATGCCTCCATTTTCATAAATGTGGATATGAGAATAGTCACCCAGAATGACTTCACTTCCCCGAATTTGACAGTGAGTTAGCACACAAATCAGGTTAGCCATTGTGCCTGAAGGGACAAATAGTGCTGCTTCCTTGCCCATGATCCTTGCCATCTCCATTTCAAGGCGAGCGGCAGTTGGGTCGTAACCCAATACATCATCATCAACTTCAGCACTCGCCATTGCTGCCCGCATGGTTTCAGTTGGTTTAGTGACAGTGTCGGACCGCAGATCCACTCTTCTCATTACCATTTTAACTGATTCAACAAAAGAAAAAAAAAACTAATTTAAACAACAGAAAAAGAAAATTATATTCTTCCTTCAGCCTTCGATAAGCAAAATTATTCTATCTGTTCTGCGAAATAAGGACGGTAACGGTGATATATTGAAACGAAATCATTGGGTTGTAATAAGGAAACAAATTTCAAAACAATGGAAACCCAATCAATTAACAAAATGCTTTACATTGAAGAAAACGACATCAATGGGGAAGCATGCAATCCTCCATAAGAAGAATATTGACAAAACTTAGAAATACCTCAAAATTCCCAAAACCCACCTCTATCAAATCAGGCGGAGCAACTCCAGTACCTATATCGGTATATATGAACATTTCACTTTACAATATTCCAAAAAAGTCTTTGATTTTTGTCCTAGGAACCTATCGGCTACCCCACCAGAACTGAAAAAGATGAATCTTTAGCACCCAATTTTGGTTTCGGACTCAACAGTAATGTCATGCAGTGCCCAGAAAACCCGATTTTGCCCAATTTTGTCGCAACACCCGAAATGACATTACGTAGATATGCACGAGCAAATTTAACTAGCGTTTGACAAGTAATCAAAAAAAATTCTTCGGTCCAATCAATTCTTACCGTTCACCGAGTAATTTGGTCGGCTGCTGCTCTTCCGGTTTGTTTCCTTTACTGTTATCCTGTTTCTCGGCGAATTTTATGATAATTCTTAAGCCAACATTCATGCTGCATATATATAGGAAATGGAGTTTTGGGGTTTGCATGTTGACTAGTATCCAAACTGGAGATAGAAATTTAATGCACCTAACACCAACGGCTAAGACCGAATTGAAGTCTGAAGAAGTCGAATTGGATTTTGCTTTGCCTTTATTTTTTTGAAGAATGTCATAAAAGCAAAAGATTTTCTTATTTGAGAATTTTGCAGTCCGGTCTCTTTAAGGTTGACTAAGATAGCGCATCAGTCACCAT